CAGCAAAAGATCAGGATAGACCAGTTGCCCAGATAGACCAGTTGATTCAGCTGCACCACAACAACAGGGGGCAGAGCTGATACATTTGCCCAAACTGAAGGATAATGCCTGGGTATTCTGCAGTAAATACGGAGAGCCAAGGTAACAACCTCCAGCTTCCTACTAATACACAGCTTCCCTCACCCTCTCAGGACACATGACACATATCATTTCTAGCTTGAAGCTGAGGGAGTAAAGCACAGAACACCTGACAGGCAAACAGACCAGAAAAGAGCCACTAAGGCAGTGATGGTGGCAAACTTCAGGCTTCTTCCTCACAGGAGACAAAGGCCTGACAAGGTTTTTCTCCTTCTGGCAAGACCCCTTCTGACTGACCAGTGCAGACCATTTGAGTCAAGGCAGGTCCTAGACATCTCAGCTTGGAGTTGTGGGCCTATATGTCCTCCCTTCCTTAAGTTCATGGAGCCAAAATTAAGGAAGGGGGTCCTGCCCTATATCTTATAAGATCCAGGCCCTTTGGGTTTCATCGTCTCCTCTATTGTGGAATCTTCCTCTGTGTAACTGTGTATGTGTTGTTTTACTTCCCGTAGATTGTTGCCTGCTGTGCCCAGGCATCTTCCTTTTTCTTCTATAACAGGTAGAGAAAAGGAACTCAATCAAGATCCCTAGACCATAAAACATGGCATACAGCTTCTTCCCTGTAGTTCTCCCCAAGCAGACTTTTAAAGACCGAGAGTAGCAAACTCCAATTCACACACGGGAACAAAGGTCAGAACTCTGAAAGCCTGTCCATAGTGTATTAGCCTAATTGTACATTTCTCATCACAGTGCTTCTGATTTGACAGGTCTTCCGGCCCCACCTTTTCAGAACTTGACTGATAGTGCATGGTTCCAATCCATGGGTGCATGATGTAAGAAAGTCAAGGTCTTCATTATGGGCGTGCGGGTTTCGCGGAGCGCCAGCTGCTGGCTGGTGCCTGTGCCGCATTGCTGAGGGTCTCCGCGACTACTGGATGCTGGCGACTCTACTGGTCACTGCATTTCCAGGTGAGTTCCGTTCCAAGCTACCGGGCACTCCCTCTAGGTTCGAGATCCGTCAGCCGCCAGGTCACGAGGGGAGGTGCGGGAACGGTGAAAGCAGGGTCTTCGCGAGTCATTGTTTACGAAGGGACAGCCCCCTCCGGAGAGACTGAATAAGAGACTGGTACAGCTCAGCTCCTGATGCAGCTCCAATTTATTAAGGGGAAAACCAGGATATTTATAGTGTGAAGGCAGTGGCAAAAGCCTTAGTTGATAGGTGCTTTGTAGGATGCCCCATTTACATGTGGTGGTGGGCTTCTGCCAGGCTGTTAGACATTGCCTGATTATCACACAGGAAAACCTGGCAGTTCCTATGCCAGAGGCCATGTTTTTGGTAGGGCATCTGTGGCGGCCACTTCAAAAGGTGAGTCAGGAAGAGAGTAGGAAGGCGCCCAGCTGAGAAAGGGAGGCTCTGCATATGAACGCCAAGCCGACTTGCGGCTATCCAGACATGTAGAGACTGCTACCTTAGACAGCAGGGGTCCCCAACACTTCATGACTGGTATTTTAAGGCAGGGCTTCCTCTGGGAAAACCTAGCTCCTAACAATATTTATGCTTAACTTTGCACATATGGCTATGCCATTTATGATTTATGTATACACAGATATCTTATTAAAAGATGTAAATAATATAGCAACAATTTTTAAAATGTCTTGCAAACTTTTCCAATTCTGGTCTTTTGAAACAGTAGTACAAAATGATTAAAAACTGTCACATGCTGTTGATGATCAAAGATGAGGACTTGTAAGAAAAAGAATCATTTGAAAGGGTTCCTCTGTTGTGTGGAGGACAGACACAACAGAATGTGGTAGGGTGGAAACAGGAAAGCTAAGCAGTAGAGAACTCTACATGGCCTGAGGCAGTCAATGATAGATGTCCTTGGGGAAGGGAAGCGGTGGGGAGAAATGATCATATTCTGTGCAGATGCTTCCAAAATGTTCCAGAGGCTTGAAAGTTTGCACTGGCAACAGCACAGGCTGAGAAATGGCCAGCCTCTGCCTGTGATGTCTCATTTCACTGAGACCTATCTGCATTGTTGTGGAACAAAACAACCTGTCAGCTGTGCTGTTTTCAGCTAGATGTCCAGAACCTGTGGCAAGTGAGATATGCTTTGGACCCGATACTAACAAACTGTTCATCAGATTACACACATGTAGAGTAAAAACAGAATCAACACATCAGGATAACTTAACTCACATATGTCACATAAGTCCACTACTTTGAAAAAAGAAAGCAATAAAGAGAGCCTAGAACAAACAGAGAAAAGACTTGAATGACCAAATGTTATAGGACATATGTAAGACATACAATATCCTCAACATATTTGGGAACTAGAGAAACAAAATCACAGCAGACAGACCAAACAGGACTGATGACATGATGAGTTGGAAGAAATGAGTACTCCTGAAGGTGGAATATAAGTTATTACCCATCACAGGAAACTGGCTGATGAGTACACATAATATTCCCTAATGATGGCACAGGAATAGAGAAATTAATGTCCACATATACAATAACAACATTCATGAATACAATACTGGTCAGAGTTAACATCCCATGAGTGCAAACAAAAACAATGACAAAGTAATGAATAATTCAGTATGGGATGATTATAGGTTCACATTGACGACTCCAATTAAAACACGGCGCATGATCATTAAAAATTTTTATTATTTTTATTTTGTGTATGTGAGTGTTTTGCCTACATGCATTTAAATGCACACATGTTGTGCAATGCCTGCCGAGTTCATAAGTGGGCATCCCCTAGAACTGGAGTTAGACAGTTGTTAGCTGATATGTGGGTGTTGGGAATTGAACCCAGGTTCACTGCGAAAGCAGCCAGTGCTCTTAACCATTGAGAAATCTCTCCAGCCCCTTGGGACATGATTTCTAGGTTAACATTTTCAATTTATTTGAATGTTTTTCACAAAGAGTGTACGAAAAGCTTCCACTTATGTAAAACATATTTACTATCAGGAAGAATAATGTAACAATTAAAAACTCATACCATTGTGATAAAACCACTTGGCAGCTGGGGTAGATTGTGGAAGTATACTGGAAGCTTGAAAGCAGACAGCAAAAGCCTGCTTTACAATGATACTTAGCGCATCTCCACTTCAAAATGACTATGACATACATAACACAGTCATTTGATTTGTATTCCATCCATTGCAATTCTCCCAATATCATGGTTAAGTTTTATAATTTGAACACAAGTGCTTGGAAAGATGGCTTGGCCTTACGTGAATGTTGCTCTTGGAGAGGACAAGAGTTGGCTTTTGAGCACAAATACTAGGTGGGAATTTCAGCTCCAGGTATCTAACACCCTCCTTTGGCCTCTGTGGACACTTGCACACATATACATAAATAATAATTAATCTGAAAAATTGAAAATTCGAATACAATATCTTCCACGCAGAGTTCAATGGCTTCAGGTCACTATATAATCATGTGGCCACTCCTACAAGAAGTGTTTCAACTCCCTGCATCTTCTCATGTGGTGTCCATTTGTAGCATGGTATTGTTAAACACAAATAATTGCCTCTTCCCAGAAATTCCTTCTTTTCCTAATGCAACGAATCTCATAAGACATAGCTATTGGTATGTCACTGCCTTCACTGAGGGTAATATACTTATTTTTGTTCTGGTATGAAACCATGCCTACCCCATGAAAAGTGATGATGCTCATCCCCTTTGATAGGCAAGAATATTTACTAAAATTTTCCAATGGTCTTTAATAGGCCCTTAATTATGTGAAATTTCCAATGTCAGTGGATAGCGTGTTATGCTAGAAAACTTGATTTTAAAGACACTTGACAGTGTAATTCAACTGCACGTGAAGTAATGTTCACTGAGATTTGCATCACTACTTGAAGCTTTTCTACATTTTAAATTCATGGGCTGCCTCACATATGTGAATCACTTAAATTCAGAATACTTTCGGTAGAAACCTTGGGACACTCTCATAGACATGGTATATCACACAAATACGTGTTTTCTGATCAGTAATGTCTTCCTTGTGGTAGCAAGTCTTCATAGTCTCTTTGTCCAGTCTCACATACATGTACGCTCAGATGTCAAGCAAGTACTCTTGCTGTAAGCCTTCTTCTTCTCATTTTTAGAGTCTCATCTGAGTTCTTCCACATAGATTGAGTTGTGAATAATGAAGGCAAGCTTTTCTGTATTATGTACATTTACTGGGCTTCTTAGATATAGAACCAATTTATAGATGAATGTGTTTTTTCATTTTTTAAAAAATATTTCATTTATTATTACTATTATTTTATTATATTATTATTATTATTATTATTATTATTATTATTATTTAACAGAGCATAGGGTATGGGTTTATTTACAGAAGACTGGTGCCCCACATTTACAGCTGCACCATAAATTTCACTCAAATACAGATCCTGTGACCTCCCGGCAGCCACACAAGATGGTGAGAGAGGTGTCTCTAGGTGATCTTGGCTTATATATCCTTTCCCCTCCCCCCACATGCAGCTAATGTCGACTGATTGGGTGGGAGAGGTAACTGACTTCCCCCTCGACTCCTTGATGAGCATAGGAAGGAGGTGTGACTATACCTTGCCGGCATAGTGGGTCAAAGGACATTTCCAGTTATCACTCCACCCCTTCCTCTGGCTCTTACATTCTTTCAGCCAAACTCTTTTGCAAAAGTCCCTGAGCCCTGGAGGAAGTGGTAGGTGTGGGATGATCTTCTACCCATTGTGGCAAGGCACTGAACTTTCAGGTCTCTGCATCATTTGTTTTCCATGGGCTGCTGGCCAGTTTCAATGGGATTCCGTCTACACCATGTGAGGACCGGATCCAGGTGTTCTCAGGCTGTCTGGTGGTTCTCAGCATCTAAGCCAGACAGAGGCCAGAACAGCTACTCTCTGTTTATTTTCATTCTTTTATTCATAGCTTTTCAATTATATGACATTTCTGATGTTGACTGAGTTGTGAGAGATAGGAAAAAGTGATTTATATGTACATGATTTCCCACATCTTGAGAGCTGTGACTTGGAGGGAAAAAAAGTTTTCTTAAAGTCTCATTAATAGGGTTCTTGGTTGAGCTCTGTGATGTGGAGCTATGTATGCCTTGCAGAAGAAATTTTTTCTTCAGTCTTTACATTCATGGGGCTTCTCCTCTGTATGAGTTCTATTATGTGCATCTAGATTGACTTGGAGGAGAAAGCTTTCTTGTATTCACATTCACAGCACTTCCCAACTGTGTGAGTTTTATGATGACTACTGAGAATAAGGAAGTAGGAGGAAGTTATACCACATTCCTTACATTAAAAGGGCTTCTCCCCTGTATATGTTCTATGATGTTTATTGAGAGCTTACTTGGAGTAGAAAGCTTTCTTGACATTCTAAAGGCTTTTCACCTATATGAGTTCTATGATGGCAGACTAACCATGTCTTGGAAAGGAGAGCTTGACCACATTTTTACCATTCATAGGGCTTCTCCCCTGTGTGAGTTCCATGATGTATATTTAGAGTTGGCTTGAAGGAGAAAGCTTTCTTGACAGTCAAAAGGCTTTTCACCTGTATGAGTTTTATGATGTTTACTAAGATTGTTCATGGAAGAGAAAGCTTTCTTGCATTCTTGACATTCATAGGGCTTCTCACCCATATGAGTTTTATGATGGCAGTCTAACCAGGACTTGGTAGGGAAAGCTTTCCCACATTTTTCACATTCATAGGGCTTCTCCCCTGTGTGAGTTCTACAATGTGTATTGAGGGTTGACATGGAGGAGAACACTTTTGTGCATTCTTGATATTCATAAGGCTTCTCACCTGTATGAGTTCTTTGATGGTCAGTGAGGGCCGATTTGTAGGAAAGAGAATTACCACATTCTTTACATTCATATGGTTTCTCACCCCTATGAATTTTCTGATGTTTATTGGGAGCTGACTTCCAACAAAACGCTTTATCACATTCTTTACATTCATAAGGCTTCTCACCTGTATGAATTCTTTGATAACAGGCTAAGTGTGACTTGAAAAAGAAACTTTTGTCACATTTTTCACATTCACAGAGCTTCTCACGTTTATGAGTTCTTTGATGTTTATTGAAGGTTGACTTGCAGTAGAAAGCTTTATCACATGTGGCACATTCATAAGGCTTCTCAACTGTATTAATTCTCTGATGCCTATTGAGGGCTGACTTGTGGCAGAAAGCTTTACCACATTCTTCACATCATAAGGCTTCTCACCTGTACGAATTCTTTGATGTTCAATAAGTTGTGACCTGTAATAGAAAAAGCCATCACATTCTTCACATTCATAGGGCTTCTCACCTTTATGAATTCTTTGATGTTTATTGAAGGTTGATTTGTAGTAGAAAGCTTTGTCACATGCTGCACATTTATAAGGCCTCTCACCTGTATAAGTTCTCTTATATTTACTGAAGGCTGACTTGTGGCAGAAAACTTTACCACATTCTTTATTTTCATAAGGCTTCTCAACTGTATGAATTCTTTGATGATTACTGAGTTGTGACCTGTAGCAGAAAGAGCTATAACATTCTTCACATTCATAGTGTTTGTCATGTGTATGAGTAATATTATGGCGAGTAAAATGTGACTTGTAGAAGAAAGCTTTACCACATTCTTTATGTACAAAGGGCTTCTCATCTGTTTGAGTTCTATGATGTATAGTGAAGTCTGACTTGTCCAAGAAATCTTTAAAACATTCTTTACATTCATAAGTCTTATCACCTGCATGAAAGCTCTGATGGGCAGTGACACTGGATTTAGAACAGAAAGATTTCTGAAATTTCTTATGTTCAGAAGGTTTCACACTTGAGTGATATGTGTGTGCCTTGTGGTGCTGTGACATGAGATCAATCATTTTCACACATGGTTCACTTTCATAGGATTTTGTACTTCAACGAAGTTCCTGCCAAATCTTTATTTCTGCCTTGAGACAAAAAAAATTGTTAAAGTTCTTGTGTCAATAGGGCTTTTCTCAGAATGTACTTAATGATGTCTTGTGAGATAGAATATCCTAAATGTTTGTTTAGATTTTGAGAAAGGGTCTCATTGTTTAGCCTTGACTGGTCAGGTACTTGCTATGGAGACAATGCTGGTCTCAAATTCTCAGAGATCCACTTCCATCTCCTAACCAAGTGCTGGAATTAAGTTATGTGTTATGATGATCAGTGAGATAAAATATCTTAAGATTTTTCATAAAAACTACACTTATAACACTTTCCCCCAGTGGGCACTGAATCAGTTATTGACATTAGTCTTGTTAAAGCTCATAAGCCAACATATATTTCATGCCATGGTTGCTTATTTACATGAGTCATGTCCTAGAAATGTGTCATAGAAAGAAGAGATTTCCAATATTTGCAAAATTTACTTCTGAAATAAATTTTTTCATAAATAAATGACACTGTCTCAATATAGATGCATATCTCTGGTGAAATATATTGAACAGAAAACTGTGAACTTTTACTCTTGTTTGGGATAGTAAAATGTTCAGGATGACAGAAGGGTTCATCAGTTACATGAACATTATCAGGTTCTTCACAGTTCTGCATCTTATTAGGCTCACAATGGAGAAGTAGCACATTCTACCATGGGTTAAGTTACTGAGGAAATGATATAGAAGAGCTTCCTATCATCACACTTATATTCAAAACACGGTTTGTGCTGGCATTAATGTTTTACCTACTTCAGATATTACTTCACTTGATGGGTTACTGTTGATGCTTCCCACATGCCACACATGTCTCTGTTGATTTTCCAGGCATCTCTTAGTAGTAGGGGCACCTGAAAGTATATTAAATGTCACTAACCACAGGCCAAACATTGTTTACTAACTCAAACATAAACATGAATTACCTACTTTATATTGGGCTAAAATTATATGGAATTATGGTAAGTGTACACACAGATCCATAGTGGATATAACAAATCATAGTAAATGACATGGCAGTGCTAAATTATGTCTCCGGTTGCTTTCCCTTAGTCTTGAAATATGTTGAGTTCAGTTTTTTTGTGTATTACTCAACTACTACTTTCTGCATATATTTAAAATCTTTTATTAAATTTATGTGTATTTCATACTCAACATCTTAATCATCTTTATACCCTTTTCCCATTGTCAGTGTCCCACAGCACCCCCCCAACTAGATTTCATGCATTCTTTCATTGATACTAAGGTCTACTGAATCAAGTTAGTGTTCCCAGAAGGTACTCAGTACAAGTTCATCCACTGAGGTCTAGTCAACCTATCTAGAGTCCCTGCTTATGAAAAGATCAGCTGTTCCTCACCCAGCAGTAATCAACTGCCAATAGTTCTTTGGCTAAGATTGGGTCTTGATGCCCATTTCCACAGTTCTATGCTGGGTTTTAGTCTGCTTGGGTTTGCACAGGTCTTGTGCATGTTGACACCATTGCTGTAGGATCATATGATCAGGGTCCCAGGTGCCCATAAGACTCTATTTTGATATAGTTATTCACCTTCCACCCTGGCTCTTACAATTTTTCTGCCCCATCTTCCACAATGGTCCTTTAGCCCTGTGTGGGTGAAGTTTAATATAGGAGGACTGTCCAAAGTCCCACACTCTGAACACTCTTATTCTCTATGCTTTGGCCATCTGTGTCTTTTTGTTGGACCTCTGTTGTATGAGGGAGCTTGCTGATGAGCATTGAGAGATGGATAAGTATTCTCTCTACTCCTTGTTCTATTGGGTTCCATGAGCCTTAAGTGTAGAAATCCCACTGTAGATGTGTCATGTAGAATTGGGCATTTGAGACACTCTCTGTGTGTGACAATTTGTGGAGCTCTGTAAGATGCCATGCATTGCAAGAAATGAGAGGTGATTGGCATACTTCTATATAATACAATGATCCATATTTAATGCATAGCAAAAAATTACATTTCTCTAGGGATATGACAGCCTTGTGTTTTTCTATAAGATCTATAACCTCTCCAGCAAAGTGTATTTTGATATTTTAAAAGTACTACAAATGAGTTCCCACCCATTCAGTTGGCTTTGAATTCAATTAGGTAGTTGTTCATTACCCCCAAGATAAAAGTACCACTACTTCCCCAGTATAGTTTGCTCTGCTGGTCATTGTTGCTATTTATTAGGACTTAAAGCTAGGGTTGGACTACTGTCCCTTAGCAGCTTGCATAGTGTTCTCCAAGACTCTGAAAGCTAGCCTTCAGGGAGGTGGCTTCCAGGTCAGTTCCAGCTTTATGACTCCAAATCCTGTGTCTAAAGTATGTCCATTTTCAGCACTAGGGACTTACTTTTCAAGTTCCGGGAGGCAACCAAGGGCTGGGGAAATAGCCTGTGTCATTTTGGGAATCTCTTGTACTACTCTGGCCAACAACTAAAATGGAATTTTCTCCTTTATGGCATTGGTTCTTATTATATAGCCTTTAGCTATACACATGGACGCATGTAGAGATATTGTATAATTTTTCAGTAGGTTTTTGAATTAATGCATTTCCCTTTGTTTTTTTTTACACTACCTGTGTATTATTTATCTCTCCTCCCTATCCCTGTATAACCCACCCTCCCTAGTTAAAGTACCCCCATTTTCCCCATTTCACCCTTAGTAAAATCTTTCTCCTATGATCTCCCACTCTGCCCTCTCCCCCAGTAACACCTATTCCTTAATATGCCACTCTTTAGGGCTTTTTCTTTCCCTTTATCTCCATGTATGTACAAGTATATCTGTAGTAGGATGAGTCTTTTGGGAATCTACCAAGGAATGGTATAAGAGGATCATATGGTAGGTTCATATTTAGTTTTTTAGAGTTCTCTACCCCACTTTTCAAAGTCATTCCACGAGTTTCCAATCCCACCAACAGTGAATCAGTGTTCCCGTTTCACCACATCATCTCCAGCATTTGGTAGTATTTGTTCTCTTGATCTGAAGCCTGTCTGACTGGGATAAAATGAAACTTTAAAGTGGTTTTAATTTATATTTCCCTAATTACTAAGGCTGCTGAGCATTATAATGGTGTTTCTTAGCTATCTTTATTTCTTCTTTTGAGAACTCTCTGTTAAGATCTGTAGTCTATCTTTTAATTGGGTCCTTTGTTTTCCTAATTCTTTGTTTTGTGAATTCTTTATATAGTCTGGATATTAAACCACTGTCAGATGTGTTGCTGGTGAAGATTCTTTCCCACTCTGTGCATTTTCTCTTCACTTCCTTGGTTCTTTTGCTGTACAGAAGCTTTTTAATGAGGTCCCACTTGTTCATTGTTGACCTTAATTTCCGAGCAACTGATGTCTAATTTAGGAAGGCCTTTCTGACACCAATATCATGTAGGTTACTGCAAATGTTTCCTTCTAGAGGTTTCAGAGTTTCAGTTTCACATTAAAGTCTTTGGTTCATTTGGAGATGACGTTTGTGCAAGATGAAAGATAAGTGTTTAGTTTAATTCTTCTACAGGTTGAGATTCAGTTTTACCAACTCCATTTGTTGAAGATGGTGCCTTTCCTCAAGTTCTTGGCACTTTTATCAAATATCAGGTGGTTGAAATTGCATGTATTCATGCTTAGGTCTTCAGTTATGTTCCATTGATCTGAGTGTTTGTTTTTGTGCCAGTACCATGCTGATTATATGACTATAGCTCTGTAATATAATTTGAGATCTGATATGGTAATACCCTCACGTTGTTCTGTGTGCTCAGAATTGCTTTGGCTACCTGGGGTCTTTTGTGATTCTATATGAATTTTAGGACAGTTTTTTCTAATTATGTGAAGAATGTCATGGGGATTTTGATTGGGATTGCATTGAATCAATATATTGCTTTTGGTAGGATGGTCGTTTTCACAATATTAATTTGTCCAATTCATAAGCATGGGAGATACTTACAGCTTCTAGTATCTTCCTCAACCTCTTTCTTCAAAGATTTAAAAAGTTCATTTTAGAGATCTTTACTGTCTTTGGTCAGGTTTATTCACACACACACACACACACACACACACATATTGAGGTTATTGTGAATGGTAGGGTTCCCATGTACTCTTTCTCTAATTGCTTGTTATAGGTATATGGAAAGGCTACTGAATTTTGTAGATTGACTTTGCAACACGGCACTTTACTGAAAGTGTTAGTCATTTCTAGTTTTCTGGTAGAATTTTTGGGATTTCTTATGCATGATATCGTATCATCTGCAAATAGGGATAATTTGACATCTTCTTTTCCAATTAGTATTCCTTTAATTTCCTTTTCTTTTCTTATTGCTCTAGAAAGAGTTTCAAGCACTATATTAAAACAGAGTGGAGATAGTGGACATCCTTGCTTGGTTCCTGATTTTTTAATGGGAATGCTTCCAGTTTTTCTCCATTTAGAATGATGTTGGCTGGGGGTTTGTTTTATATAGCTTTAATTATGCTGAGGTATGCTCTCTCCAGTACAGTTCCTCTAGGACTATTAATATAAATGGATTTTTAATTTTGTCAAAGGCCTTTTCTGCATCTATTGAGATGATCACGTGATTTTTTTCCTTGAGTACATTTATATGATTTATAGCATTTACTTACAAATATTGAACATCCCTCTATCTATGGAATAAAGCCTGCTTAATCATGGTGAATGATCTTTTCAATGTGTGTCTGTATGCGGTTTTTAAGGATTTTTTTCAGAATTTGTGCATCAATGTTCATTAAAGATATGGGTTCATAGTTTTCTTTTTTGGTTGTGTCTTTACCTGGTTTGGGTATTAGTGTGATGCTGGCTTCATAGAAGGTGTCTTGGAGTTCTCCCTCTGCTTCAATTTGAATAATTTAAGTAGTATTGGTTTTAGATCATCATTAAATGTTTGGTCGAATTCTGCTTTGAATCCATATGGTTCTGGGCTTTTATTTTTTAAGTTGGTAGGTTTTGTATTACTGTTTCAATTTCTTATATAGTATGGATCTGTTTAAGCTGTTTATCTCTTCTTGGATTAGATTTTGTGGTTCCCATGATTTTAGGTATCCATCCATTTCTTTTATGTTTTCACATTTAATATACTATAGATTTTTAAAGTATTCATTATTGATGATCTGGATCTTTTTGATGTCTGTTGTAATGTTTTCCCTTTCATCTCTGATTTTGTTAATTTGGATTTTCCCTTAATTTCTTTAGGTTAACTGGGCTAAGGGTCAGTCAATCTTGTCTATTTTTTCAAAGAACCAGCTCTTAGATTCATTGATTCTTTGTATTATTTTCTTTGTTTCTATTTCATTAATTTCTCCTCTGATTTTTCTTATTTCTTCTCCTCTGCTGGGTTTGTTTCAGTTGTTCTTGTGTTTCCAGAGTCTTAACTTGTAATGTTAAGTCATTGATTTGTGCTTTTTCTGTTTCTTTAATATAGACACTTAGAGCTACAAACTTCCCTTTCAGGTCTGCTTTTAAAGTGTCACAGAGGTTTTGTTGTGTTGTATTCTCCTTTTCATTTAGTTCAATGACGCTTTAATTTCATTCTTAATTTCCTGTTTGACCCATTCACCATTCAGGTGCTGATTTTAACCGTTATTGCATTGTGGTCTGATAGAATGCATGGAATTATTTCAATTTTTTTGAGATTGGATTTGTGCCCCAGTGTATGGTTAAATTTAGAAAAGTTCCATGGGGTGCTGAATAGAAAGTGTATTGTTTTGTGCTTGGGTAGAACACTAGCTAGATGCTTGTTAGGGTCATTTGATGTTTCGTTTAATACAGAAGTCACTCTATTTTTGACCAGCTGACCTACTAGAAAGTGTGGTACTGAAGTAACCTGCTATTACAGAGTTGGGGTTAATCTGTGTCTTGAAGTCCTGTAGTACTGTTTTTATGAAACTGGATGCACCAGGGTTTGGTGCATATATGTTCATGATCAAAATAGATTCTTGGTCAACTGTTCCATTGATCAGAATGAAGTGACCCTCTTTATCTCTTATGATGAGTTTTACTTTGAAGTCTATTTTGTCAAATATTAGAAATACAACCCCTGCTTGTTTCTTAGTGTCATTTGCTTGGAATATTTTTTTCCTTCCTTGTATTAAGGTAGTGCCTATCTTTGAAGGTGAAATGAGTTTCTTGCAGACAATGGAAAGATGGATTTTTGTTTCTTAATCCATTCACCTAGCTGGTGTCTTTTGACAGGGGAGTTTGGGTCATTGATATTCAAAGTTTTATTATTGAAAGATGTGTATTGGTTAACATCATTTTAATTTCTGTTTACATTCTTGGTCTAATTTTGTGTCCCCATATTTATTCCTTCATTTTGTTTTTTCTGTTGTCTTTTGGATATAGTCGTTCCTTTCATCAGTTCTTTGTTTTGCTTCAAACATTTTCTGTTGAGCTGGTTTGGTGCACATGAATTCTTTTAGTCTATTCATGTCATGGAAGATTTTTCTTTCCCCTTTTACTATAATGGACAGTTTTGCTGAATAAAGTATTCTGAGTTGGCATTTGTCGTCATTTAGAACTGGGAAAAGTTGGTCCCAGGCTCTTCAGGATTTCAGTTTGCACTGAAAAATCAGCTATAATTCTGATGGGTTTTCCTTTACATGTGACTTGTTTTTCTCTTCTTGCTTTCAGTATTCTCTCTTTGTTCTGTATTTTCTGTGTTTTTGCTATGTTATGTTCTGGGGATTATGTGTTCTTTAAATTAGTTTAATTCTTTGATCATGTTTATGGTTGTTCTTTCAAATTCTGTGTCCTGGGCTATCTCTAGAAGGTTCTCACTGTAGAACTCTTCTACAGGACTGGTAGTGTTTGGCAAAAATATATTATTTTGGTTTCTGATATTATTATTATTATTATTAATTATTGGCTGTGTTTTTGGCTTCTGGGTTTCTTTTGTTGCTTGTGATTTTGGTGTGTAGCTCAAGCCTTCCTTTGCTGAGTTGAAGTTTGATTCTGTTTGTATTATGGTTGTGGTTGCTTTCTGATTGGATATGAAAGGCTGGTTGGTCTAGGCTTCAGGTTCTCTTTTGGTTTTATTTTGGAGGGACCAGATGGCTCTAGTCAGACTACTAAGGAGCTCTTCAGCAGGGTGAAGTGGCAGTGGCTAGTTAGGAGCACTTCAGAAGCCTCTGATGTATAGTACCAAGGTCCAGAGAGAGGAGATGGGACATGGTAGTGTTCGTCCCTGTGAGTCCAAATGGAAGTCTAAGGTCTGGAAGTAGTGGGAGGGACTTCAGGTGGTCCCAGAGTAGTGGGATGGGCATGGTCTGATTAGGGGAGCTGACTGGGAGGAGGCCTGAGTCTGGAGCTTTCAGGGAGGGTCTGGGTTTCTGATAGGCAGTAGGGAGGCCTGGCCCTGTGGCAGGGGGAAGGACTGCAGGTGGTTGCAGAGTAGGGGGATGGGCATGGCACCATTTGGGGAACTCACCCAGATGAGGCACTGCTCTGGAGCTCTCAGGGAGTCCTCGTCACTTTAATGTTTAACTTCTATTTTTTTTTTTTTTTGTCTTTTTGAGACAGGGTCTCCCTGTAGCTTCAGCTGTCCTGGAACCCACTGTGTAGACCAGGCTGGCCTTGAACTCACAGAGATCCACCTGCCTTTGCCTCCCAAGTGCTGGGATTAAAGGTGTGCACCACCACGCCCGGCCTTAACTTCTATTTTTATGCTGTGTTCCATTCCTCCATTACATCAACTACATATACATCATCCTACATCATATCTCATGGCAAGTAGGAAATTTTCCTTCTATTGATTACAGATACAATAGAGGCAGGTCATAGATCCTGTCTCATGAGCACCCTGTCTCATGTATGTTAATGAAAGGATTATTATACCTATAATTAAGTTTGCTTACTTAGACCAGAAAAACAGCAGAAGAATCTTTCATTGGTTATTCTATGCAATCAACTTCCATTAACATTAGAAGACAAATTTTTCCAGTACTTCCTTTAATCCATCTTATGACGTATACATCTCTTTCATCTTTAGGACATAGATATGTTTTATAAAACAAGAAACTTTTTACTAGAAATATTTAAAAGAGCTATCATGCTGAGTGGCTTGCCCTCATAAGCACCTAAGCACTTGCCTCGTACTGCTCGAAGTGTTCTTTCCTTGCCGTGTACTCTGAATTTTAACTACAATGAGGTCTGAGGAAGTCTTCTCAATTCATGTCAGTTCACACTTCTGAATAGCTTCTCTCTAAAGGTCTTTTCTTAGGCTTTGCTTTTTTCTTTGCATATGTTTGATCAACATTCTACAATATCATGGAATACATTTTCTATGACTTTAGGCTTCTTTGTACTTCTGTGTTCCACATAACAGACTGACATTGCATGTCTTTGTCATGTCCAGAAGACCTGAGTGCTGGAGCCCTGACTGATGGAGTGCCACAGCTGCAGAAAAGCCAGACAACCTACTCTTCTTGCCATCTCCAGGACAGAGGGGACCATGTGTTTCCCAGGGACACCTTAGCTCATACTCTACAGCTGTGTATGCTTTCTTTATTTCCCAATCCTATATGATCTGAAACCCCTCGCCACCCCCATCCCTTCCCCTTCCTCACAGCCTGCATTGCTGAACACAGTTCAGTCTGCTGAAATGTCTGGCTCTGATCATATAGCTAAACTTTATTCTTTCTCTGTTCTTCGAATTCTAACATTGACTGCTCTGACTTTTCGTTAGGGTTATACCTACAGTGACAAGTACTCAGCCTCACCTTCATTCCTGCTGCTCTTTCATCTGCCTTCCAATGAGTGCTTTACTTACTGAGCTTTTCTCCTCAAATATTTAAGTTTGTATGATCTGCCATTTAACATGCTGAATTTGTCATGGAAGCATCAAATGGGTGCTTCATTCAGCTATGCATCTGAATACTATGCAATTCACAGATTGTTAGTGAAAAACACAGTTTCCCATTTTATGTCTGATATTCCACCATTTTCTCATCTTTAGAATGTTATTGGAGATGTTTCTGAATAATCATCACTGTAAGCTACTGTAAGTACTAAGCTTCCAAAGCACCTCTTTTGGAAATATAGGAATAGATGGATTCTCACCAGAGTCCTAGACTCCATTCATAAACCTCTTAATTTCCTGGAGAATCTGTATCTGACCATGTCAGTTTCCATGGCTACCACTTAAGTTCACTTGCAACACAGAAGCTGTGTTTCCCTAGCCTCCTGAGTCTTGAGAGATCTTTGATATCATGTCCCCAAAGTAGCCATCTACCAGGCTACCAGGTTGTAGCACTCCATGGTACGTGGATTAACACAATCAATTCGTTTTCCAATCTAGTTTGCCATCACTGTTTTAGGTGAACACTTGCTAGCCCCACAGGCTTCTCCTCAAAGAACTGCCAGGGCACTGGCACATTAGGGTCTAGGCTGGCTGTGGTATCCCATTCCATTACCACCTGAGATTTCAGATGTGGACTGTCCCTACACTTGCCTGCATTCCTTTTCTGTTATTCTACTGCATCCCTGTCCTGACTCTGGTCTACATTCCAAATGTTTTCCCCCTCCTTCTCTCCTGGGAATACATTCTCTCCTGTGTTTCTCTGGCACTGCTCATTCATGTATTAGCATGGGCAAAACCTGTAACTTGCAATCCTGGGATTTCTGAACCTTACTTTTCTCATTATATTTTGGGTTTTTGTTTGTTTCTGGTTTGTTGGGGGGAGGGAGGGACTGTTTGTTTTTGTGGTCTTTTTCTGATACAGGGCCTTCCCTAGCCTCAACCTCACAGAGGTCTGCCTGTGTCTGCCTCTCCAATGCAGGGACTAAAAGTGTGCACCACCATGCCTGGCTGCTTTTCTCATTATGTTAAAACTCTGTGGATAATTCTTTTTAGAATAATAATTGCCAAATTTCTTTCTCCATTCTAATAACAAACTTATCCAGTCTTGAATTGACATATATCTATGTATTTACTACAAATTTTGAAAACAGCCATGTCACAGCTAAACAAAATGAGTAATTCCTCAATTTGGCATTTATCTTAGGCCTCTTTTTCTTTCCTTGGAGTATTTTCAGTGTCTCTTGTCTCACTCTGGTATGTTACACTGTTGCTTCACTGCATTCTCTCTGAATGTGAGCTCTTTAAGGGCAAGCAGTATTTGAGTGCTAATGATTGATATCACAGTTTCAAACCAAAGACCAAAAGATTGGAAGAACATTTCAACAAGTCAAATTTAAAAAATAAAGCAAAAGCTATGGTGTAAAACCAGGACAAAGGAAAATTAACAATATAGGTAAAATGAGGATGAAGAGATGGCTCTCTGATTAAGAGCACTTACTCTTAATTCCAAAGAATCTGAGTTACAATTCTTAGCACCCATTTCAGGTGGCTCATAATTACCTGTAACTCTAACCACAGGAAATCCAACACCCTCTTCTGAGCTCCACGAGCAGAGAGAGAGAGAGAGAGAGAGAGAGAGAGAGAGAGAGAGAGAGCCTAGTCATGGGTTGACACAGAGAACCTCATTCGGAAACTGCATAAGGTTAAATGCCTGACAGAATAAGCTGCCTGTCAATGGGACTTACTTTTGGATTAATGTTGGTGAAAGCACCTCTGCACGAATAGTATCTTATGAGCAAGCCTCTTGCTGACCTCTCTTTCCCAGCATGCATTCACTGACCTGGCAGGCTCCAGAGTGATGCTTTGTCTATGCTCCGTGGCTCAAATCCATGCTCCAGCCTGAAGATCAAATCAGGTTTGGTCATGCAGTGCTCTGTAAACATAAAATTATATAAGATTGTGCCCAAGTGGTAAGTCTGATTTGAGATACTGTGCTATGATGGCTAAATTAGAAAGTTTAAAAATTTTTATTATTGTGTGTGTGCATCTATGTGCACACACAATGCATTTCTGTGTATACCGCTGCAAAGCACATTGAAGTCATACTGCAACTTTGGGGAGTCAGTTATCTTCTTCTCCTTAATTTGGAATCTGGGGATTGAGCTCAGGTCACTCACCTTTGACATGGTAGAACATATCTTGGTCCCCTAAATAACAACTTCTGTTAAAGAGTGATTGCATTCCCATTTTTCATTGACTGGAATGTGACCCTCAAGTGGAAAATCCTTATACATAATCAAGAACACACTTGTTGAGAACTCCAGAATGCATTCCCACTCATAAGTGTTCCTAAAAGTGATTATAATAATTTTTAAAGGTTCAGTTATTCGTACTTATTTATTTTTCATTTAATCTAAATAAGATCATTTTTACAGAATGATGAATTGAATTTACAGATTTGCACATGCTAGCCAGGACCTTTAATTGAGATAAATCCTCAGCCCCATCTTAAAATATTTTATTATTTTTATTTTTTTATGTGTATGAGCTATATTACCTGCATTTGTGCAAGTGCACCAATGTCACACAATGCCCTCAGAGGTTAGAAAAGGGTGACGGATCACCTGGAACTAGAGTCACAGATGGTTGTTAGCCAGTGCTGGGTGCTAGGAACTGAACCTGGGTCCACTGCTCTTAATTGCTGAACCATCTCTCCAGCCCCCTATTTTATAATTTGTTAACCAAGGGGTCTGAATATTCCAAAGTACCAAGAAGTTAAGGAAGATATGCTCCAAACTGGAATAACTCCAGGACCCAGCATGCCCAGACAGAACTGTGAGGATTCTGAGGCCACCTCGGAATAGAATGAGTTCAAGGCAACCTCAGACACCAGTGAACCCTGTCTCAGAAATCCAAGAAATAAGTTACTTATGCTCTATGTAATACACTCCCATGCTCATGCAAACAACCCACATGAAACTCAGTAGTCAGGAAAAAAAAATATCCAAAACCACACAAAAGTAAGCAAGAAAGCAGAAGGAGATTTGTTGGGAAGAAAGTGTTCACTGGAATTTGGAGGCTGATGAAAGGGTAATGGTGCATAAAAATGAAGAAATTGTATTAGATACAGATATGGAACTCTCAAAGGATAAAAATTAATTAATCAGGGCTGGAGAGATGGCTTAGTAATTAAGAGCACTGGCTGCTCTTGCAAAGATCCAGGTTCAATTCCCAGCACCCACATGGCAGCTAACAACCATCTGTGACTCCAGTTCCAGGAAATCCTATGACCTCTTCTGACCTCTGCAGGTACTGCATGACACAAGTGCTCTTATATACACAGTCAGACACATAAAATAAAAGCAATAAAATATTTTTAATTAATTAATAAAAATATTTTTAAAACAGGAAAATTATTAAAAGGCTGAAAGAAGCAATATTATTAAAGACCCACACTTCTTAGTGATTTACAGATTCAGTAAAATCTGTATCATAACACCAACACATTTCTCTATAGAAACAGCAAAAAACCTTGTCCTAAAATAATGACTTAAATATCATGTGAATAAACCAGAGAACAGAAACTGTCAGAGCATCTTGACCTAAAAAGCACAAAAATCTAGCTCATGATATCTACCTTTGAAACCCACTATAAAGAGCTATTAAGCAAAGCACCAGGGTGCTGGCATAAAAGGACAAACAGACAACAAGGAACAGAATGGAAGACCCAAAGCAAATCTACACATGTTCAGTTTTACACTGAGGCTTTAAGATGCCCTCCAGAAGCCGGGTACTAAGTCTTGGTCAGCAATCTCTGATACTGTTAGTAGGTAGAACCCAGTGAAGGAAATGACATCATGGCAACAACCAAAGGCTGGATATTGGGACGTCATCTCCTCTCTTTGAGTTCTGCCTGCAGGGAGGTGACTAGCAGACTCTGCCAGTGTTCACTGTCACAGTGCTCTTCCTCACCACAGTACCAAAGTGAGACCAAGTAACCATAGACCAAATCCTTTAAAGCCAATCCAGCACACATCTTTCTCCTTTTCAGGTGTTTCTCTCGGGTGTTTTGCCAGAGACCTGGAAAGCTGACTAATGCAGTCAACTGATGTTCAGCCCTGGCTTCAACTCAAGACTAGAGTCTGCATGGAAGTTCTTTTTTTATTTTTAAGAGAGTGTGGGATCCCATAGAGCTAGAGTTATGGACAGTTGTTAGCTGTATTGTGGGTGCTGGGAATTAGCCTGGGTCCTCTACAAGAAGAGCCAGCACTCTTAACCACTGAGCCATTTCTACAGACCATGGAGGGAAGTTCTCATCTGTAAATTGTTCAGAGACAGACCTGTGTGTGCTGCACATATCTCGAATCCCAGCACTCAGGATGCACAGCAAGAGGAGCAGTAGCTCAAGACCATTCTCAGCCATGAACCATTCAAGGCAGCATGGAAACAGCATTAAAAAGTGCATAAAGATCTCAAAAAATGCATAAAGAGGAAACAGAATACACTAAAAATAGATCAATCTATGGAAATGCAAGGTCTGTAGGAAGGAGGCCTCCTGGGGCATGGAGTCAGGAGTGAAGAAAATGAGGGTGACAAGGGAGTTTGGATGTCTGCTAAAGACACAGCGACAGCAAAAATCTGTCATCAGGACGCCAAGAAACTCAAAAATATCTGTAGAGAAAAGGTGCAATCATAGAATAATTGAACTGAATGATGAAAAAAATTGCATTTATTCACCAAGTGACAAATTTCTGAATATTAAGAGTCTCAAGCAATTAAAGAGGGGAAAGCTAACTAATACATTCAATATTAGTGTTAAATGACACAAAAGCAAATGGTCTGATTGAATCTCCTTAAATCACCTCAACAGCCATTTCCCAAACATGACACACAAACAGTTCTTAAACATAGGAATGGTTGCTTGCCACCCATTATCATCAGGGAAAGGTCAATCAAAAGCACAAGGATGGATCACTGCATGGAGGTCCGAATGTGTCTTACCCACGACACCAAACAACAAGCCCTGAAAAGTCTCATAAGCTGGTGGTAGGAACATAAATGCTCACAGCTGCTGTGAAATACATTGCAAGACTTCCTCCAACGACTAGACAGTAAGCCCGGACTGGGCACACCTGCGCCCTCAGCACTCAGCAGGTGAAGGCAGGAGGATCCACAGTTCAAGGCAAGCTTTGGGTATTTGGGAAGTTTGAGGCCAGTCTAGGCTATGAGAGATGCTGTATCAAAGAAAATAACCCAACAAAATATAAACACAGAATGACTGTGAATGACAGACACCACTGCTGCCCACATGTAGCCAAGTAAATGGAACCATTACTGTGCAGAGAAATCTGCAATCCTCTGTCACTGCAGCACTGTGCATAAAGCCAAGACACAGATCAAGGTCAGCATCCATCAATGGAAGAACACATAAATAATACAGAACTAAAACTAATTATAAAGATATAGGGAGCTGTCAAACAATGAAAAATACAAATATTTTGGAAAAGATGTGACTGAATAATATTCATGCATTAAAATGCAAAAAAATCTCCCACCTCAAAAGGACAGAAATGGAGAGCTTTTTGCGAGGTTGGAACATAACTATTTCCACTGAGCAAGAAATGACCATCACTACATTAAAGCAGAGCGGCTGTGGTGACCTGCAGGAAAACTTGGCACACAAACAAGGCAGTGAAATAAACAGATATAGCAAGCTCTTAGGTCTATGATAATGGTAGTGGGTCATTAACACTCCCACAGAAGACTGTCACGAACCTCTCAACAGAGATGCCAATCCAGACCCCTTCTCCCAACTTGCCTGTGCCACAGAGGTAAAAAATGACTAGGATTTGGCTTTTTAGTGGTCGAGCTGTCTAAGAGTCTTGAGTCCCTCTAAATACCCCAAATACACTTTAAGTCACCAAGCTCGAACACATGGAACTGTTCTTTGGGCATTTCACTTCCTCCATAGTGGGTGGAAAGATGATTTCTTGTATGTCTGCCTAGAAAAGACACAAGATAAGTGAAACATCAGTCACAAAGAGAAAAATCCTGCACAATTTCATTATACTTGCAAAGCCAAGGTGACTTCAACAAGGCAGAGAAAACTGTGGTTACCAGAGTGGAGAAAAGGTACAGAGCACAGAGGGATGGAGAGGGCATTGTCCAGTACATTGGGACAGAGAACTTCCTACATTTTATAGTGCAGCAGTAAAAATATGGTTGACAAAAATTAAGTAAATACTTCAAAATAGCAATTAAAGAGAACTTTTATGTTCCCAACAAAATCAGGGTGATAGTCATATCAACTGGTATCATCTGATAACTACACATCTGAATGGAAAGCAAAGCCACAGTGCTCTTCATTCATATATGACATTAGCATGTATCAGCTAAAATGTCTATCAATTTAGTACTAAAAGCTAGCAATGACTCCGATAGATATCAACCAGGAAGGATGTAAGTGCTACTGAGAGTTACAGGGCATCAGACTCACCCAAGAACACCAGGCTGCTGTAGTTCTCCAGCATCACATCCCTGTAGAGGGTCCTCTGAGCAGCATCTAGCTCCTGCCACTCCTGCCAGGTGAAGTCCACAGCTACATCCTCAAATGACACCAGCCCCTGTAATGGCAAAGTTCTCATCAACCCAAGGCCTCAGTATCTGGAACAATGAAAGTTCACCTTTCTAGGTGTGTGTATGTCAGCAGTGTCATAGAGAAGCTAGAGTCTTCCTTGTGTTCTCTATCATGGGACAAATAAAAACCAATGCAAACATCTTCCCTCTGTGTTAGTGCAGGGATGCAGGAGAATGAGAGTAAAGTGATCTCCGAGGAATTACAATAGAAACAAAATTTATAGTAACTAAATGTGTTTGTAAGGCTTGCTTGACTAAGAGGGGAAAGCATCTGTAAACTCATCAAAAAGGGGGGGGACTTAAGTCCCTAATACATGAGCAAGAAAATGACAAGGCTCTGTACCCTGTATGCGGCTGTTGTATAGAAAAGAGGACCCAGGGGCTGGTAGTCACTAGACACTCAAAGATCAGAACATGGCTTCTGTGGGCAGCTGGGGCCAGGCAGCTCTGACACATGAGATCAGGAAAAGCAGGTGTTGGGATAAGGGGACACAGAAGTGTAAGATCTAAAAGGGGGAAAGCTCATCACCGAGAAGGTGTCTGCATCCAGGAAAGACACAGAGATTGTTTAGAAGGGTGCAAGACAACTCTTTCAGTTTCCTTTCATGTGATATGTTCACAAACAGAATTAAATGCTCCCCCAAACCATTGCTCCAGGACTCTGAGAAAAGGAAAATACCAAAGTATGTGCTTAATATATACCATATACTATTAGGTACAAGTAGTTGATTATACTGTGGAAAACAGATGTTGATGTGGCTGGAGAGATGACTCCGTGGACAAGAGCACCTATTGCTCTTGCAGAGGTCCCAGAGCTGGGTTCAGTTCCCTACATCCACATTCTAGCTCCTAACTATCTCTACTTCCAGTTCACAGAATCTGATGCCCTCAGTGGCCGACTGCTACAACTGCATAAACATTCTGCACACAAACTCATTCATGCTAGTACATACATACATATAAAATACACACATACATAATTTTGAAAAAAGAGATGTCAGTATTTGGAAATGCTTACAGGGAGGTGAAATTTGAGGAGTTTATTGAGAGACACAGTGTACCAGAGCTGCTGGTAAGGGTTCTAGACTTGAGAACTTTCTCACACAGCTGGAAAGCTCTGGGAAAGCAGGTCAACTATAGGGAAGAGGTGAGGAAGCAGAGGTTAGGCCATCCTGTTCCACATCCTCCAGTATGACACTGGAGGTGAGGCTGCTGTGGAAGCTGGGTTTTCCTCAGCAGGAAAACAATCTGGAAAATCAGACAGCTGAAGAGCACGCTGATGTCTGGCTTCCTTTCTCTTCCTTCCCTTTGGTCCCTGATGGATCACCAGACGTGGCGATCTCACCTCCCCTCAATAGCTCCTCCTTCTCTCCCAGCTTTGAGACATGGGCAGCTCCACACTGCTGAAGCTGGACCTGAGCTACTTCTCAGGAACCTCCTCCCACACTCTCCTCAGTTGTCACTGCCCAGGATCTCCTACAATTCACTTTTCAGTTCACAAACTTGTGATACATCCTTCTCCTTCTGTATCCTAACTGAGATTACAGGCCTGTACCGCTATTCCTGGCTTCCAGGTGAGGTCTGGACCTAGGTCTAGCCTCCCTGCCCTGTTTCACCTTAACAGAGCACAGAAGGAGACATCTAGAGTGAGTAAGAAGGTAGAGGAAAGGGTGAAGCCTCTGTGCACAGCTTTTCCAAGCATTCTGAAGCCCTAGCAGACTATGCACCTAAATGGAGCCTAAGCTAGACCTAGCCTCCATGCATAGTATCAGAGACTAAGAGACCCACCAAATGAGAAAGAGAGCGAGAGCGAGAGCGAGAGCGAGAGAGAGAGAGAGAGAGAGAGAGAGAGATGAGTACAGTGTCCCATGTCTATATCACAGCTATCAGGAGGCTAAGATAACAGGACTGTCATAAGCTTCTAGGCTATAGAATGAGGCCCTATCTGAACAATCAAATACAAATAAATAAATTAACACACAAACAGACACAGTAGGGAAGGAGGCAAGGTATGAAGGGACAGAACTTCCGAGACATGGGAACACACATACAGAGGACTGGGACCCACACTGCCATGCTCAGGTTTAGTGTGCAGTCCCTATTTCCTGTACCCCAAGTCTCCCAATCTTCCTTCTCCTCCACTGTCTGTGACACAGTGACCAGTATTCATCCCAAGGCAGGGGATGTGTGGGACATGACTTATAAACTGTCTGTGCCCATCTTTCCTGCACCTGAACATCTGAGCCATGCCTCCAACCACTCAGCTTCTTCCCTCCCTGTTATAGGCAGTGACAATGGAGGCTGGAGGGCATCAACATGGCCCTAAAGTCTGGTCTTGGGCCTTGGCCAAGGCCTGTTCCACTGTCTGAAGGTCTTGCTGTTCCACTGTCTCTCATAACATCTGCTCCTCAGTCTCCCAAGACTCTTGCTTTGTGCATCCTGATTCCCTTGGTGCCACCAGGGCTATGGGTGGGTGCTAGTGTTACAGAGTTTGAAACCACAGAGAAAAAGACCACCAGACTCAATTTAAATTATTTTTTTTTATTTTTTAGAAGAAGCATCTCATTACAGCTTTAACATAATAACAATTTCCAGAGCATTTTTAAAATATTTATTTTTAGTTTTAATTATGTGGTTTTAGTTTTAATTTTTAAAAGATTTATTTTTATCCAAAACATCTCTTGCAAAAGTGGCTATAAAATTTTTAGGTTCACAGGTGAATTAATACAGTTATACAATATTGAACTCAGTATAAACCCTGTAAGACATAAAATAGAATAGCTTTTTAACCTTTAAAAAAATCTCCATTTCATTTTAAAATATACTTTTCATACAGAAAGACTCATTGTTTTTGCTTATAATACTTAGATGTTGGTGCATGCATCTCTAATCTGTATGTATCTGATTATTACTAGTCATGGTCAGTTGCACTCGGATCCTTGGGACCTGTGTATGGATATAAAGTCATCGGGTAGATTTCAATGGTAATGTTTATCACCTCTACTAATTAAATGATGTAAATTTTTATACTTCCTCCTCAAATATAATTCATTTTTTTAATTTGTTGATTTTTTTGTGTGTATATCACACAGAACATCCCAAACAATCGTATTCATCCATATACCCACTTACCAGATGGCACCCTCCCACAGCACCCCGCCCACTGGAGCCCTTTTACTCTGTCTTCCCTACTGTCTACTGTGTTGTCAGCACCCCAGCCATTCCCCAGTACTTGTCCATTTGGTGACTCTAGTCAGCAAATCTAGAGGTCTTTGTTTTAGGAAGGTCAGCTCTTCCTCATCTAGCAGCAATCAGTTGTCAATATTCCTTTAGATAAGATTGGGGTCTGCTGTTCATTTTCCCAGTTTTATTCAGGGTTACTATCTGGGAGTCTCTTGAGCTAGCCTGGCCAACAACTCAAAAGAAGGTATCTCTTATCTGGCATTATTTCTTGTTATATAGCCTTTACCTATACACATGGACTCTTAAAAAATTATATTGGCCCCTTTAATTTTTAGTTATACTTTCCTTTTGGGTGTTTAAGGCTATACAGTGGGCCCAGATAAACCAATTTATTTTTACTCTTAAGGCCATTTGAAGATCTGTTCCTCAGGGGTCACATGGGCTTGGGAGGAAGAACCTGGCTCCTTTCTTTTACCAGTTCTGTCTATGTGAAGATAAGTCAAAGGTTCTACTTGACCATGGTTGGTTTCGCTTGGAAGCATGGAGGAAATGTTTCCTCTGTGTTGACCCTCCTCTTTGTAGACTGGACACTGGTTCAAGTCTACCTAGGAGGGCAAGGAGCAAAAGCTGTCCTTTGTCCCTCTGACCAAATTAGTATAGGCCTCAAAAATGTCTGTTAAACATCTAAGAAGGTCAGTTCCACCAGTGTGGTACTTTTAATTACCATGTGCCATGTAGATAAAGCTTGGGCAAAGACCAGTTGTTCTCAGATAAACCCTGCCTAGGCATACATTTCTTGATCTGGTATGTATAATTTGTCAGTAGGTTGTTGGACTAATATTGTTCTGTCTGGTTTTTAAAACTATTATCTCTTGCATTGTATAACCCTACCATCATGATTTTCACAATTAATGTGCCCCCATTTTTCCATTTCTCCCTTAATAATACCCTTCTCTTATGGTCCTACCTCTCTTGATCTCCTTCTTTCCCTTTATCCCCTAGGTTCCTTGTATACCCTTCTCTTCCCCCCTCCCTTATACTAACCCAATTTTTATTCATATCTCTCTTCTTAACACCAATTTCCTACTTTTCTTCTCTTTCAGATTCTTTCTTTTCCTTTACCTCCCTGGTACCTTTCCATTATCCTGGTTCCTGTAGTTATGCCTGGATACATACTCACTTACCAGGATTTGGTGCTAGGAGCCATATATGAGGGAGACCATATGTCATTTTTTTCCTGAGTCTGTATTACTTTACTTAGTATAACAGTTTCCAGTTCCATCCATTTACTGCAAATTTCATGATTTCATCTTTCTTTATTGCTGAGTAAAACTCCATCGTATAAATGAACCACATTTTCATTATCCACTCGCCAGTTGAGGAACAATTAGGTTGCTTCCATCTCATAGCTATTGTGAAAAGAGCAGCAACAAACATGGATATACAAGTGTCTCTGCAATAGGACGAGTTCTTTGGGTGTATGCCAAGGAGTGGTATAACTGGGTCAAATGGTAGGTTCATTTGTAGTTTTTTAGGAGTTCTCCACACTGCTTTCCATAGAGATTTAACAGGTTTGCAATCCCACCAGCAGTGGATGAGTGTTCCTCTTTCCCCACATCCTCTCCAACTTTGTTAGCATTTCTTCTCTTGATCTTATTCAGTCTGACTTGGGTAAGATGACATCTTAAACTGGTTTTAATTTAACTCTCTGTTCAGCTCCTTAGCCCATCTTTTAATTGGGTTGCTTCTTATCTCTGATTCTTGTTTTTTGATGTCGTTATATATTCTGGATGTTAAAACTCTG